CTCCACTCCGGGGAGCTGCGGGGCGAGAGGCGCCCGGAGCGCAGGCGGAGGGCCGAGCTTCTCCCCACGACCCCACGGGGAGACCAGGGTGAGCGGCGTCCACGCCCTCCGCCAGCGCCCTGAGGGAAGAGCTGAGCTCGGCCGGCCTGAGGAGGAACCACACGCGCAGAGGAACGACGCAGAAGACACACGGGAAGAACCGCGTCCTCACGGCCTCAACCGCAAGACTACAAACATACCTGACCGGCAGGTCGTCGGCGCGGCGCCGCCGCTCCCGAACTTCCAGAACCTTCCGCGAGCAGCCGGAAGCGCTTCCCGCGGGGAGCGGCCCGGCGTCTCGCGCGCCCGCCTCCCGCGCAGGCGCAGAGCCCGCGGCCCCGCGCGCCGGTGCTCCACGGGCCGGGTTTGCTCCAAACCGTGAGTGGTCAAGGAAAGGCGGGGGGGCGGGGGTGGTTTGGTTTTTGTTTTGTTTTGTTTGTTTTGTTTTTGTTTTGTTTTGGTGTTAGATGTAGTTGCCTGGAATTGATATCTCACAATTTACGCTCTGGTTTATCCAGATTGTGGAAAAATACGTTTTCAGTAGTGACTATAAATACAGCCTACAGAGGTCTGTGTTTCCCCTGGGGACCCCTGCCTGCGCTCCGCAAATTACTGGCAGTGGTGCTCAGAGTTTGTAAAATTCAAAAATGAAAAAGGAAAGTCACCGTTCGCCTAGAGCCCAATGGCTAGAACAGGAAGCTATTTGTGTGTCTTACTTTAGAAAACATGTATTCCTGGGGTGGGGACGTGCTCCAGGTAAATCCTTTGGCGTACACGTGGGGCATGTATTAATTATTCCTTAAGGTAGCCGTTTTGTAAATCTAGCGTTTCCTGTAACTGATGCTAAAATTAGGCGCACTCTTGCTGCCTCTGTTGGGCAGTCTGTCAAGACATGATGAGGCAGATCAGAAGACTAAAGACCTGGCTGAGTCACACTTCCTGGGTTTGAGGACCCAAGGAACTGAGTCAGCAGCGGTGTGGGCAGAAGGGTTTGGTGTTGCCAAGGGGCTCTCCTTCCCATTCCTCTGCTCTCCTTTACAGTAAAACACAAAAGGGTTTAATGTAAATTCTATTTTTAATCCCTCTTCTATTCTTTCTTAAACTTACTCCAGTTAGGCTTTTTTATTTCCACCATGCCACAGAAATTGCTCTTGTCAAAGTCCTTGATAAATTCAGCAGTTTTCAGTACTAATTTTGCTTGGCCAGTCAGCATCATTTGTTGCCGTTGATCACTTCCTCCTCTTGGAAATACGTTCTTTCCTTAGCTTTCCCACAACATGCTCTCATGGTTTTCCTCTAACCTCACTGGCCACTCTCCAAATCCTTTATTATTTCTTTGTCAATACCAAACCTCTTGTGAGCACCCCCAAGTGCAATCCTTGGGCCTGTTCTCTGGCTATACCGTTGACCGTTGAACTGCATGGGCCCGCTTATACATGAATTTTTTTTTAACAAATATATTGGAAAAACTTTTTGAGATTTGTGACAATATGAAAAAATTTACAAACTGTTAGCCTAGAAATACTGAAAAAAATTAAGAAAAAATTAGGCATGTTGTGAATGCATTAAACATGTAGATAATAGTCTACCCTTACATAAACATAAGGTGAGTGCTTTAATATAAAGTTGACAGTATGTTAGTTTTCATACTGTTTTATAATTTTGCTTTCAAAGAGTTACATTACCATACTGTATGCCTCTCATAATTAGAGAAACTGCATATCAGCCTATTATCACAGATAAGTGTTTTTTAAAAGTAACAATGTTTCCAATATTATATAACTAATACTGTATGCCATGAAGTTTTTTTTAATGATTTATTCATTAGTGTATAGGCTAGGCTACCATGAAGCAAATATATTGAAAACATTAGGCTACCATAAACCAATCATATTGCTGCTTTGTTATCAATGCATGGTTATACCTGTAAATAAAAATGAATTTCTCTTCCACATTATCTTTTCAGTTTTGATATCTAGTGTTAATAATACATATAACATTACAGTGTTTTATATCATACAAGACAACACTGATGCAGGTAACTGACAGATGATTCATCTTGTAAACAGATGATGTAAACTTACCATATCAATAAGTACAGTACCATACAGTAAATGTATTTTCTCTTCCTTATGATTTTCTTAATAACATTTTCTTTTCTCTAGTTTACCTTATTGTAAGAATACAGTATATTATACATATAGCATGTAAAATATATGTTAATTGACTATTCATCTTACAGGTAAAGCTTCTAGTCCACAGTAGGCTATTAGTTAAGTTTTGGGGGTTTCAAAAGTTATACACAGATTTTTGACTTCATGGGGTCCAGCGCCCCTAATCCCTTCTTGTTCAAGGGTCAACTCTATTCACTTCCTTGGTGATCTCGTCAACTCTGGATATAAGCCATGTGCTGACAAATCCCAAATTTCTATCTCCAGCCTTAGTTTTTCTCCTGAGCTCCAGATTGGTATAAGCCACTGCCTATTTAATATTTCCACTAACAGACCCCTCAAATTTCACATGTCCAAGACTGAACTTCTAATTTCCCCCTGTGATCCTGAACCCCATTAACTCACATTTTTCCTGTTGTTAAATTTAACTACCTTGCTTTTCTCTTATATGCCCTATTTCATCCATCAGGAAATCTTGTGTCTGTGCCTTCAAAATATGTCAAGAGCCTTACCATTCCCTTGTCTGAACCACCGTCACTTCTCACCTGGATTATGCAGTAGCCTCCTAACAGCTCTCGCTGTTTATGTATGCCTTGCTCCTTAAAGTCATTTTTCAACATAGCAACCAAGGCAATCCTGTTAAAACAGAAAGTAGATGTTTTTTTCTCTCTAAAACCCTCTAATGACCCTCAACTTTCTCAGAATTAAAGCTAAAGTCCTTATGGTGACCTGTGAGGCCCTAAGTGATAGAAATAAATGTTTGACAGTTAACCCTGCTAACGAGATTTTATTTAGGAGGCTTATGTATTACCACGATTCATTCATTATTAGAACAAATAAAGCTGTTTTTAAAGATGTCTACACGACTCAGGCCCAAATGTATTGAAACTGAATACACAAATATACTTGACAGCTCTGTAACATCCTAGCTCCCTGATTCACTGCTCCCTAGGATGCCTACGCAGAGATATGTTCTACTTACATTTCTGCTCAGTGTCAGAACATTCTTAATTCAGCAGCAATGAGAAAGTTATAATGAAAAATTAATTCAATAAATTATTAATTCCTGGATTGAAAATGTAAGCTTCAACTTGAAAGCATAGGATCAATAAGAAATATATATTTCATAAACCTTGCGATGCCATATTTCCACATTACTTGCAGAATGACAACCGGTTATGAGACTACAAAAATAGCTTAATGATTTTTGCAAGATGCCTGTTTCAGAAGTGACAGCAAACCCCCAAATCTACTCAGTGACTTGAATGCTTTGATAGATCTATGGTAATGAATGTTCTTCAGTATTTTTTCCTTTTAGTCAATTGCAAATATTGAACAATCATTTTCTTTTGAGGCTCCACTGCATGTCCTTTATGTTATCTGTTTCATTTCTGATGTTCTGACCTTGATGTTGTAGCCGGTCAAAAGGAAACACACACACACACACACACACACACACACGTGCACACAAAGGGAACTGTAGAGGAAGCTGGATGAGGGAAAAGTGACTGTTGTCAAATGACCCTTTACCAGTCTTCTCTGATATGAAAACTGACACAATATTTTATTCTCAGACCCTGACCAAATATAAATTCTTATTTTCAAATGATTGGATTTAAACAATTTATTGTTTTGGAAACATAATTAAACCATAGGATGTTTTAAAAATAGCTGATTGTTTGGCTTCAAAAGCTTTTCTGTTTCCAAACAGGTTTAAGTATGAACGTATATGGCTTAGGTAATCAAAGCAAAACATTCAGTTCTCTACTCAGGCACTAAGAACAAAATGCTGCACCCTCCTACCTCACCGGTCCTATTTCATCCTCTTTGACTTAAAGCTCTCCTGGTTCTCAGCTGTCTCTCATGGTAATCCCTTGTGCTTTAGCTATTTTTGGTTTAATGTGATTATTGAGCACAGCTGTAATTCAGTGGCGACTTCCTCAAAGTTTAGACATTTTGACATATTCTTATTTTTAGCCTTCAGTCCTCCGTCATAATGTAAAAATTCTAAGGCAAAAACTGAACACACCAGCAAACAGTAAGTCTGAGAAGATAAAAATTCCTAAATTTAAGGATTGGAGAAATATAAGTTAAAGAATATTTTAGGGAAAATAGGATTAACCGGAGAATTAAAAATAGAGTATTGACTTTTCAAAACACTAGAGAAAAGCAAATAAAATCTGATTTATAGAGAAAAAAACAGGAAGGAAGCATAAGCCATAAAAATGTAAAATGAAATGACAAAATTAATAAATTTAAATCTTATGAATGATGTTGAAGATGTTTAAATAAAAATAAAACTATACACTAGCAAGGATAAAAGAGGGTGGTAGAGGAGATGATAACCACATTTTGGAATCTGGAAGCAAACAGTGATAACTATCTTAATAAATCTGAGAAAGCTAGCTCACGGCAAAAAAAAAAATGTGACAATGAATATATGTATGTTCATGTATAACTGAAAAATTGTGCTCTACACTGGAATTTGATGCAACATTGTAAAATGTTTATAACTCAATAAAAAAATGATAAAAAAAAAATCTGAGAAAGCTAAAGCCTAAACCAGCAATGGGGAAAGTCAGAAAGCAGAGAACCCCACTGTCAGCAGCAAGATCCGCCCACTCACCCACCCACAGTTTTCAGAAAAGCTTCTGAGTCCCTAAGGTATGGACAGATGGCCTAGGAATTCCTCCAACATAAAACACAGAGAGAGAAACAAACATACAGAAAAAAGCAAATTGGGGAAAACTTGCTGTGCAGAGAGTAAAACTGAAAAAAAATCTATCCTCAAATAGGGAAAACATTGCATCCAAGGAACAAGAAAAACGTACTATAAAGAAGGGAAATTTCGTGTGGCATTTTTATATGAGGAATCTAAAAATAATGATAATAATAAGGACACAGAGGAACTACATATTATTTATAACTTAGATGATTGATTTCATGAATATGTGTGAACACATTTGACTGTCCTTTATGATTGGATTACCACATTCTGTTGATTCCTATTTTGTGATTGGCTTTGTTCCTTTGATAACTATGTAAGTTTAAAATTCTAAGCTCTAGTCTGTTCTTAGAAACAATAATCAGTACATACATATGAACTAAAAAAAGTGCACTATAGTGTATATATGTATTTACATGCAGTATCATGTATATGTGCAGTTG